TGTGTCTGTGTTCAAGAGGAGCAAAAGAACAGACAGATAGAGACAGATACACTCTGACAGACACGGGATGACATCACAGACGTTTTCTGTGGGGGTTTTGGGAGATTGTCGTGCGGTTCAATCAGTGTCAGGTTTCCTTAATGAGGCTAAGACTCAGTCAGGGGTGGATTAGCAATCACGGAAAAAAAGCCCTCAATCTTCCATCTGTTTGAGTAATTTTTTCAGGGAGCAGCAGACAGAGGAAGAGGGAGACAACGCCTCAGGAAAATCCTTTTGTGATCGCCAGCTGGATTTAATTTAAGTGAATTCAAACAGGAGCGACACTGACCGACTGATCCGAAGTTAATGTGATTACTGAAAGGAAAGTATTTGGCTGTTTTCATGTGTTTGAGATTCCTCTGCTTTATAATTTCAGATTGACTGGGTAATTAAAGGATTCAGTTTTGCATATATCTGCATAAACTGCAGATTTTTCTGGAGCAGTATTGCACAGCAACAAACATGGAAAATCTACCTGCAAACAATAAATGAGGAGAAATGTCATCTGAACATGAAACCTGAGCCCTGGCCTCTCTGAACGCTCCTTTGTAATAAACAAAGTTCCCGGCTGAAAGAAATGACCCTGAAGAGCTGTTTGAATTCCCCCATTAAATAAAGACTTTACAGCTTTTCTCAGTTACCAACGTTAGCAGTGGATACACAGACCCATCTTGGCTATCAAGGAAAAGGCAAAAAATGACCCATAATGCTTTGCACCAACATTTAGAGTAAAGACCCTCTCAGCCATGCATGTTAAGACCCTCCTGACCTTGCATGTTATGCCTCTCCCATCCATTCTCATCACATCCTTTAGCCCGGACTCGTTAGCGCTCTAGAACACTTTTATTTTGTATTTATAATCATCAAACCAAATTCATGATCAAGTGGATCACTGTAAGAGGAGGGACCTTAGTAACGTGACAAACATTTACTTCACCTCTGATAACTCATCTTTGATTATTGTCTTCAGCACTGTCTTTCGTATCTGTCCGTAGGGTCATTTCACATACGCAGATCAAGTTAACCCCTGCGCAGGCTGAGTGGGGTTATTTGTGTGTGAGGCTCAGGCTACTCACAGGAGAGTAATTTTTTCAGAGTTACCATTATTTTCCTCTAAAAGAGTAATTTTTACTAATTTTGGATTGTAATTATTTCCAGTGGCTCCTAGAGTAGTGTCAGAAAAAATTAAACTGCATCTGACTTCAGCCAGCTGAAAAGAACGACAGACATAGTGGACTTCTTTTTCTTGGATATCTTCTACCAAGTGAGTTTTAGTAAATGATGATTAACATACTTATACAATGATAAAATATGTGGTAGTATACACATACAATTTTTCTTTTATTTCTCTCCTGTTAATCATTATTACAGTATGAAAATTTTTCTCACATCAGTAACTTACAACTTCTTTTGATTTTCTGTAAGCACATCATATTTTATTAACATACTGTAAAATGATTGTTGTGTATCATGATGGGCTCAGCTTGTCTGCAATGTCCATGTTTTTAGCCTGCTCCAACAGCTTGAGATACACTTCTCTGTGTTCCTGCAAAAGCGCGTCTCTAACAGTTCCAGACAGCATGAGTGATCATCAATCTGAGACATGGTAAGATGCAGGAAACAAATACACAGAATAATAATAAGTAAGTAAGTAAGTAAACTTTATTTATTCAGCGCCTTTCGCAGACCAAGGTCACAAAGCGCTTTACAGTAAAAGCAAAAAGCAAAAACAATACACAGTTAATAAATACATACAAAGCTAAAATTTAAAAGGCCAAAAACAACACTATAGCAACCATAGCAGCCCCAAGACAGTTAGGGAAAAGCCTGAGCAAATAGAAAAGTCTTAAGTTCTCTTTTGAAAGAGTCAACAGACTCCATCGAACGCAGAGCAGGCGGAAGATTGTTCCATAGCTTGGGAGCAACAGCCTGGAAGGATCGGTCTCCTCTGGTCCGCAAATGAGTGTGAGGCACCATCAGAAGATTCTGACCCACAGACCTCAGAACCCGGGCTGGGGTGTAAGGCTGGATCAGGTCATTGATGTAAGATGGAGCCTGACCATGCAAGGCTCTGAAAGTTAAAACCAGAATTTTAAAATTTATCCTAAAAGAAACAGGCAGCCAATGAAGGGTTTTAAGAATCGGGGATATGTGTGACCTCCTATTGGAGTGGGTCAGAATTCTCGCTGCAGAGTTTTGTACCAACTGCAGGCGAGATAGCTCCTTTTTGTTCATACAGGAAAACAAACTGTTACAGTAGTCTAAACGTGAAGACACAAATGCATGAATGATCAGTTCCAAATCGTTATGTGACACTATTTTTCTAAGTTTGGAGATGTTCCTAAGTTGAAAAAAGCAATTTTTGGTCAGTTGATTACAGTGTTGCATTAATGACATGTCTTTGTCGAAAACAACACCCAGGTTTCTTAGGCTCGGTTTAACAGACCGGCCCAAGTCGCCTAAGTACTGACTAATCCCTGGAATGGAGTCATCAGGGGCAATAATCAGAGTTTCTGTTTTGTCCACATTTAGCTGCAAGGTGTTATCACTTAGCCATTTTTTAATCTCTGCCAAACAGTGGACTAAGGAATTTTGCTTATGGAGCTCAGTAGGCTTGAATGAACAGTACAACTGAATATCATCAGCAAAAATGTGGTAGGAAACATCAGAAAATCTGCGGATGATTTTTCCCAAGGGGATCAAATATAAAAGAAAAAGAACAGGACCCAAAACTGAGCCTTGGGGGACTCCACACAGCAGATCTGCTGACTCAGAACTTATTTGGTTTGCTGTGACAGTAAAACTACGCCCAGAGAGGTATGACGAGAACCAATGTAGAACTGACCCTGACAGTCCTATTTCATCTCTCAATCTTCTCAGCAGGATCTGGTTGTCGACGGTGTCAAAGGCTGAGGACAGATCTAAGAGAACTAGAACAGCGTATTTTCCTGAGTCAGCAGACATCATGATGTCACTGGACACTTTCAGCAAGGCTGTCTCCATAGAGTGATGTTTACGAAAGCCAGACTGAAACGTCTCATGGATGTTACATTGATCCAGGAAGAATGACAGCTGTTCAGCGACCACTTTCTCTAGGATTTTTGACAAGTATGGCAGCTTAGAAATAGGCCTGAAATTACTTAGGACAGTCGGGTCTAAGCCTGTCTTTTTAAGTAAAGGCTCCACTATGGCATGCTTAAAGCTATTGGGAAACACATCCGTAGAGAGAGAAAGGTTAACCATTTTGGTCACCCAGGGGCCAATTACATCAAGCACTTTCACAAAAAGCCTATACGGAAGGGCATCAGATGAGCAAGAGGAGGGTTTCATCTTGGTCACCAGAGCCGAGACATCAGCAAGAGCCACGGGCCTAAATGAGGACCACAAGTTGGCTCAATGACAGCAGGGGTTCCACACAAAAAAGAAGAGGGGGGGGGGGGGGATTTTCTCCTTGATCAACTTAATTTTGTCAATGAAAAATCTTAAGAATGCATTGCTGTCAGCTTCACAAAAAACAGGGGTAACTGGGGCAGCAGGACGTACAAGAGAATTGATCGCGTCAAACAACACTTTGGGGTTTTTCTTATTTACTGTTACCAGTTGACGGAAGTACTCAGATCTGGCATTTCCCACCATCTCATTATAAGAGGACACAAGATCCCTAAGATAAAGTCTGTGCACCTCAAGGTGAGTGGATTTCCACAGACGCTCAGTCTTACGACATACTCTCTTTAAGCTCAGGGTATCTTCATTTGTCCAGGGGCACAATTTTTTCCGTAATGACGTGTTTGATTTTACAGGGGCCACCTGATCCAGAATTTTAACACACTGATTGGTAAAGCAGTGAAAAAAATTGTCCACATCAAGGCAATCCATGAACACCAGAGGATCAAACAAAGAGGAAAAACTCTGTGCAGTATTTTCAGAGATAACACGCCTCTGAGATCTAATTTCTAAAGGCTTAGACTCAGGGCTAAAGTGCAGATCAAACAGGACAAGACAATGATCACTCAGGTGGACGTCCTGTATAGACACATTTGAAATCTCAAGGCCAAGGGTAAAAACTAAGTCTAAGATGTGGCCTTTTTGGTGAGTGGGCTCAGAAACATGTTGCTCAAAATTAAAAGCTTCAGTCAATGTTAAAAGCTCCTTTCCAGAGCATGATGAGCTGTCGTCGACATGAAGGTTAAAATCTCCAAGGATTAAAACAGATTCCAACTTTATTATTGAGGATAAAAAGTCGCTAAAATCCTTCAGGAACACAGCAGCAGGACCAGGGGGGCGGTAGATTAACACACAGTAGAATGGATTTGAAGAACCCACCATGACCATCTGGGACTCAAAAGAAGTAAAATCCTGTGTCTGAGTCACTTTGCAGGTGAAACTGTCCCTGTATACAACAGCCAGCCCCCCCCCCCAAGACGACCGGGGCGTGGCTTCCCGTCAGCAGAGCAGTCAGATGGACAAAGTTCATTTAGATGAATAAACTCCTCCTCTCTCTGCAATGTTTTAGAGAGACACATTAAATCCAGCTTTTCCCTCTTGAAAAGATCGTTCAGAGAGAATGATTTATTTGCAATAGATCGGGCATTCAACAGGCCAATATGCAAAGTTGATGACGTCAAGGAGGCAGTGTCTGCGGAACGCAGCGGGATTGGTCGAAGGCATGACCAGCGGTCACGTGGGCTCCAGCTGGACAGTGCAGGAGGAACCGGCGTAAACATGGAAGAGCGTGGACACGATGATGGCCACTGACCAATACTCCAGCGCTGTGTAGGCTCAAAAACTGTCGTTGTGGTCCAGGCAAGCGGCAGCGTGGGTGTGCTGTCACATACATCGAGGAGAGGGATCCGGCGTAAACACCTTGCTCGTTCTCCATGGCCGGGGAAGACAGATTTCATGCGTGCTGCAGCGCGTCTTCGTTTGACCTGGACTCCGGAACGCGAGCCTCTTTTCCTTGATCACCTGCGGACTTTTCCCGGTTCCAGACAAAGCAGCAGGTACTCAGGTGAATCCGAGTCGATGATAAAAGGAGGGGGAAACGTTTGTTTGTACTTGCCCCATGTATTAAACAGGCCCTCCATTGACTCTTTAATACGGAACAGAGAGTCCCGATCATAGATCCGTATAGCTGAGACACATCCATTTGATATACGGGCTGATATGATCACAAATGCTGTAAAGATAGCCAATATAAAACTATTCAGCAGGAGACGCGCCATGGCACTGCCAGTCACAGGCGCCATCTTGCCTGTCTCTCTCTCCATAGAAGCAACTAGTGTCAGGAATTTCAAAAGGATATGATACCAAGGACCAGACGTCATCCAGCTCAGCCAGTCCCCTTTATTCACGTGATCACCATCCACAGCCATTCTCAGTGCGGTCAGGTTTACAATCGCCTGCTGAATGATTCCTCCATCTGCATCATTTTCTGGAATGAAAGTACAGCGAGATGTACCCACCAAGGCACACACTCCTCCTGATGCAGCAGTGAGTTGATCCAACACAGTGCGGTCCTGCAACTCCATCATTCTCAAGGCAGTGAGCTCCTCTTTCACGTCCCCCAGCGCTCTGATGGTGATGTTTGCAAAGGTACCAAACCTGTAATCAAGTGTCTCAATTCTTAGCATTGTCTTACCCACTCCCGCCCAGGGAAAAAGCGACAGGATCACCTTCACCTTCATCTCTCCTGTTGAGACATGGCAAGGCCCATGACTCGCTATTGTTGCCCAGCGATATAAGTATTTTGGCAAGATTGGTTTTTGTTCTGGTCATTCATAAATACCTTTATCATTAATTTTTGCACCTTATATTTCCATAGTTGTTTTTCAGCGTTTGGGGAGGATGTTTGCATGTCTTTTAGTATTTCTAACGCCTGGTTCACACAGGTAGCGCCGCGCGCGGAACGGAAGCGCCGCGCACAGAGTTTCGGATCGGCGCCTGTGTTAACCTATGTGACTCACACAGCGCGGCCGCTCCGCTTATCTCTATTTTTTGCGCAAGCCGCGCGCGCCGCAAGTGCCACTTGTAAAGCTGGAGAGAGCAGATTGGACCAGACAGGAAGTCAGACACAGGAGATGCGAGAGAATCTGGTCAATTTTCAAAATAAAATATATTTCAATAAATTAGAAAAAAAGGATTTACGGTGTTGCTTGTCGGTCTATTTTTTCCCGATGAACACGCATGCACGCACACACACACACACACACACACACACACACGGAGGGAGAGCTGCAGAGAGTGATGTTAATGAGACAAAGGAGGGGGACTTTATTACGATAGAGTCAATAGGCCCGAGCTAACAAGGCTACACATACAACGGAGTCAACAGACTCCCCAATTCATTCGTTGTTTACCCCTATATAATAATTTAAAACAATACTTGAAGATGCTGCCAATATTTAATTTATGTATGACGTAATAAAAACGTAAATAAATATTGATTTACCCATGTTTAAAGCGCTCGTAACTGTGGAAAACTGAGGGCAGACGGAAACAGCCAAGTTCTGCCGGGCTCAGTCGATGTCTGACCGGTGCATCAAAGCGCAGCAGAAAACCCTTCATGTGTGAACAGCCAAGCGCGCGCGCCGGCATCGGCGCACCGGCTTCCTGTGTGAACCAGGCATTAGTCAAGATATTCACTAAAGTCTGACAGGAACAATAAGGGTTTTTGCGCTGCCTGTTTGGCTGCAGCATCAGCTCTTGCATTACCTAGGGATATATAATCTTTATCATTGGTATGGGCTGGACATTAGCATACAGCTATACTTTTTGGTAATAAGCGTGATTTACTGGTTTTCCTGTAGTAAAACACACCTCTATGTTTCCGCTGCTGTGCACTGCTGCTGTACTGGCTGTCAGTGTATATCGTAACATTTTTTTCCTTTTGCTAATTTACATGCTTCTGTTAACGCAATAATTTCAGCTGCCCGTGCAGGGAAATGTTTTGGTAAGGGTTCAGCTTTTAGGATTTCATTTGAGTCTACTACAGCATAGCCTGTAGTGTTTGATCCATCACGATTCTTTTTGGATGAGCTGTATACAAAATAAAGTAATGAGTTTGGAATTTCTACGTCTTTTAAATCTGGTCTTGGGATAGTGGATGCTGTAGTCTCAGCTAGACAGTCATGTGGTGTATAATCATAAGCTGTAGACAAAAATGAGATTTTGTTTTGTAGAAGTAATACTGAGACTGCATGAGGAACTTTTAAGATGAATGGATGAAACAACACTATAGTTGCTGATGCCTGTATTGCTGAAGAGGCTGCTATGACAGCCCTGATGCAGTGTGGTAATACTATGGTTACAGAGTCCAGTTTGGAAGAATAATAGGCAATAGGCCTGTCTTTATCACCGTGCTTCTGCAGCAGTACAGATGTCATAAATCTGTTTTTGCAATCTGCAGTTTGAGTGAATGGCTTAGAATAATCTGGTAAGGCTAAAACAGAGCTTCCTACTAGGATTTGTTTTATATTTATAAAAGCCTGTTCTGTTTCTGGGGTCCATTTAAGTTTGTCAGACATCATCAATTGTTCATCATACATTAATTTGGTCAATGGATGAGCCTGTTCTGCATAATTTGGTATCTACGAGCGACAAAAATTTGTCATCCCTAAAAATGACATCATTTTTTTCTTAGTTTGAGGTTTTGGAGCTTGCAGTATAGCAGTTTTTCTGTCTTTTTCTATTGTTTTTCCTTCTCCACTGATGTTGTGACCCAAATATTTCACATTTGTTTTCCATAATTGCAACTTGTTTTTGCTGACCTTATGACCTTCAGCCGCTAGAAACTTAAGTAAGGCTATAGTGTCTCTTTTGCACTGGTTTGGGGTTTTTGATGCTACCATTGTATCATCTACATATAATAGCAACTGACTTCCTTCAGATTGTGTGAATTTTGCTAGATTAGAACTCAGTCTTTAAGAAAATATAGTTGGGAATTCACAATAACCTTGAGCTAGTCAAGTGAATGTCCATCTTTTCCCTTTAAATGTAAAGGCAAACTTAAACTGGCTATCCTCATGAACTGGAATAGAAAAGAATGCATTACTGATGTCTACTACTGAAAAGTATTAAGCCTGGGGTCACAAATCATTTAACAGAGTATGTGGGTCAGGTACCACTGGGGCCCTGGGGACAACAGCCTGGTTTACTGCCTGCAAGTCTTGGACCATACGCCATCCTACAGATGGTGATGCTTTCTTTACTGGAAATAATGGAGTGTTACACGGTGAGTCTGGGCACAGCACAATAACCTTAGCTTTAATCAAGGAGTCTATTACAGGTTGAATACCCTCCTCTGCTTCAGGTTTTATTGGATATTGTCTAATGTGTGGTCTGTAGCTAGATTTTGGGGTAATTGATACAGGTTTTACTCCCTTCATTCGTCCTACATCAGCAGGGGCCTTATGTATCAACGCTGGCGGCGCCAGAAAACCTTGCGTACGCCAAATTTGGCGCACACGTCCAGATTTATCATCGCGAAATGAGCGTCGGTTCCAGTGCTAATCAACGCAAAGTGAGGAGGTGGTGTAGAAGTTGGCGTTGAGCCGATACTTGCGTTGACGGCACTTTGGCGACGCTGTGTGGCGGTGTTTGGTGACTCACTATGTGACAAGCGTGAACCACATCCCCGTGGCCGAGCAGCATGTCGCCCCACATGACGAACCAGCAGCAGACGGAGGGATGCGAGCTGATCCCTGCCGGGCCGCCGTCCTCGCGCGGGAGAATCTTATCGCCACAGTGTGAATGGGTAAGAAGTGAATACACAGTTCAATGAGCCAAATTAATTTATTTTCGCCACCAGACGCTCGAGGACATTTACGAGCCGGTCCAGCCGCTCGTTGATCCCCGCGATCCCCCTGATGATTTCTTCCTGTGATTGCAGGACCGCCTCTGTGAGGACCCTTCCACTGCGTCCGGGTGGTCCAGCGGAAGCGCCGCAGCTGGTGGACGCTCCACCGCTTGTCGGCGCGCTGGTGCTGATGCTGGTGCTGGTGCTGGGGCCGGGGTGGCCCGAATGCCGCTGGTCCTGGCCGACGACTCCGAGCCGGCGGACGGGCTGCCGCGGGCCGGGGTTCCGCAAGCCGGCGACACGGCCGACACATTGATTTCTGTGACACAATAAAAATATTTGTTCATTTCAATTCCTGCTTCTGTGTATCTGTTGCATTTACATCTCTCTCCACGGTATCATAGGTAATGTAATCCAGTATTTAGAGGTCAGTTATGCACATTACAGTTGTTTATTGCATAAAAAGTTATCGAAAAATGAAGTTAAGGGCGAAGTATAAATCACGTCTAAAAATAGACTGAATCCCGACGTTGAAATGAAGTATAAATTTAGACTAGACGTCTAATATACGTCTTTTGCTCAGTGGGATGGCAAAGCATGTGGACATTTGTGTGACACGCCACTTACCTTATAATAATAATCGCCACCACCCGCTGCTCAAACGGCGTGAGGGTCTCCTCCCCCGGACCCCTCTTGTCTGGCCGGTACTCCTCCGGAAGGCAGCTGTACGCCGCTTGACCTCCACCTTGAGGTCCGACCACTTTTTTTTAATCTCCGCGGGGGTGCGTGTCTCGGAACCCACCGCATTCACCCTCTGACAAACTTTCTCCCACTCCAAGTGTTTTCGTTTTGCACTGAAGCCACTGGACAGGCTGCCAAACAAAACACGCTGTCGCTCCTCCACCTCCGCCACCAGCACCTCCACCTCGCACGCTGTAAATTTAGTTTTTCTTGTCATTTTGTCTGCGTGCGAGGACAGGGAGACCCTATTTAAATAAATCTGCATATTTATAGGAGGGCGTAACGGGGGCGGGCCCAGTCACTCCGACATCTGCGCTCAATTCCACGCTGATTGGGATTTATCAAGGAAACACACGTGGCTTTCGGCGCCCGTACACATTGATACATACGGATTTTTTTCAGCGTGATGGTCCTTGCGTGCGCTCGTTTCTGGTATGAGTCCCACGCAAGTGTTGATACATGAGGCCCCAGGTCCCTGGGACCATAAATTTTCAGGAACATCTTCTAAGGACTATTCTTCTTCATCTGTCAATAACACAGCTTGTCATGGGGATAGGGTAGCAGCTAAATGCACACCTGGAACCACGTGGGTACTTTCTGTACATTTGGATGGAATAACTAAAGTATACTCCCTTCCCTTTGTTCTGCCAGTCTTTGGCTGTTGTTAGTGCATTTGCTTTAAGACCCATGCCTTTCCATGTGTAGGCCAAGCCCTGTGATAATGACACATGGGGCTCTACCCACATGTGGAAAAGGTCTCTCTGTGGCTGAGTTAGTGAGCAAATTGCAAAGCTATTGCCCTCACTGTCCCAATAAAAGGCTTTAATCAGCATAGAGCGGTCTGCGAGTTTCATAAATCTGGCTTCATACTCATGGTCAGGTTCTGGGGCTTCTCTGAATAACATAGTGCAATGTAGCTCTGATGCTGTATGTTTCACTGCATCTGGTCCAGTCACGCTGTTTATTTCTTCTATCAGGTCTTCTGCAACTCTGCCTGGCATTTTTGGCATTAAGTCAAGGGTGTAGTAGTATTTTGGGGCTTCGTAGCCTTCAATCACATTTGACTCAGAAATACGCACTACTACCATGCCTTCT